GACACCAAAGCGCCGCGCAGCGCATGCCAAAATAGCTGGATGGTCCTAATACAGATGAACCGATGGACACATGTTGGGTTTTTAAACCGCGATAGCTTTGAGATCTATTTTCAGCACAACGTCAGAGCTGATGCTGTGAGCTGCAGCAGCGTTAAAAACAGATTTGGCAAGATTACATAATCCAGTCCTCCTAAATCACCGAGGACAACCTCGGCCTATACCTGCTGTCTGTACGCCTCCATCTGTCTCTCAGTCTGTCGTCACGTGTTGAACAATTTGCTTTTTTTGCTTTGGAACAATCCAGTGTGGACTGTAAATACTCGGAGAAAACTGAGGGCGGGTGTTTCCATGTTAGTTTTCAAACCCTATGGAGGTGATGAGAAGAGAGCAGAGGAGGGAGAGCCAGAGTAGAGGAGAGGGGAAGTCCTGCATAAAATGGCAGCCATAAAGTCCCATAAATTCAACATGTTCTACAGTTTTGGCTTTTTGCTTGGAGGCAATACAACAAGCAGTGTGCAGATAAGCAACCAAAGATAATAAACTGCTGAGCCTGATAAGTAACATGAATCCTATTTGCACATCAGTTTCTGAGGCAAACTGGGATCTCTAAACTATATAAACTGCTCATGTAGGATGATGGTTTTATAACTAAACATTCGCCAAAATAAATTCATCTGTGATGAACCCAGATTGTCAGGATTTTGATGTGTTTGTTTCCGATTTTCTGTTTCATCTGGTCACATTTTCTATAGTATTTTGCCTTGTTCATGGGATCTAAGGCTGATTCCGAATTGAGCAGATTGCTGTTTGTAATTCCTATCTCTTCACCTTTCAGAGAGTCGACAGAAAGAACACTATGGTGGTTAGGAAAGGAACTCTGCAGTGCTGAATCCAGACGTCATTAAGGAACAGAAACATACATGGAAGATACTTATTGAACAAGGATTACAACCCATTGGATATGAAATACAAAAAACTAAATTGACCAAAATATAATGAATGTCTGAAGCCCTCCTACTTCCTACTCCTCCCTCCATCCCTATTTTTTATCTCTATTTAGACAGCACAGATTATGGCCGCCTTAGTTTCTGTTTAGCTCTGGTCATGCTTCCATTACCAAACTATTGTCTTCACCTGGATAACAGAATAAGCTCTTTGTTTTATTCTGATCCACACGTTATTTATTGGGTTCTGTTTTTTTACTCCCTGCCCTGTGATGGACTGACGACCTCTCGCCCGTAGACAGCTGGAGATAGGCACCAGCACCCCTAGCGACCCCAGCAGGGATAAGGGTGACAGAAATTGGATGGATGGATCTTTCACTCCTCACAAATGAATATTGATTTTCAAAAAGCGGCACGTTGAATAAAAATCTTAGTTAACACACTGCCTTCCTGCCACATACGGCTATTTGTTCTTCATTTTATCAAACATAGCCTGGATTAAAATGCCATTTAAGGCTTAACCCATGCCTCAAATCTCTTGTGCCACTGGGGAGGTATTATCTAGTAAATTATTAATTTAAAGATGCTGTTTTTTTTCTTTCTGTTTTCTAACTCTTGGAAAGCCACCACTGAGAAATATTTATACTTTAATACTTAGTCCCGGCCTGCTGCTACCTCCCACCGCTGCACCCACCCACACTTCCCTGACCTCCATCTAAATAGACTCCAGCTGCATTTTAACCAGGGACGTGATTTGATTAGTAAATAGTTATATTATGTAAACTAATTCTTCTTCATTAAAAGTCTTAAAATAAACTTGAAACAACAGAGGATGGTGTGTTTAGGTCATAAATTACTGTTGTAGGATTATTGAAACTACATTTTTCTAGTTTTGTCAATTCACCCATTTGCAATTTCTTTTTTTTACTAAACTAGATCTGATGCATTAAAGAGATGTTGGTATGGGAAGGTATGTATTAAACCTACATTATTTATCAACCACAAAAAAGACATTTTATACCAGACGGCAAACTAAAGTAATTTTCTATTTTCTTGACATTATTCACTTCCTGCATATTTTCTGTGTGCATCCATTTAAAATTATCTTCCCTCAATAGGTCAGTCTGAGTTAATGTGGTTGAAACAGTGGTCCCAATCTATGACATTTCATAGCAAAGACACTAAATCAAAACCACAATAAATGTCAATAGTGTCTTAGAAAAATTTATATAAAGAATTTTTTTTGATAAAATAGCAATTAACTTAAATAATCGTGAGACTGAAGCATCATGTGACTTTTATATCCTAATACATGAAAAATGATTTTTGTTTCAATCATTTTTAATCTTCCTTTTTCATCATTTTTATCACTTTTTATCACATTTATCATTTGTCAAATTCTACACATGATGCTGATGCTTTATATCATACAGCTGATGAGGTAAAAAACGATTTTCCATTAATAGTTTATAGTGGATGTAGACATTATTATATATATTTTAAGAGTAAACCTGTCCAAATAGCAATCGGAACCACAATCGATGGAAATTATTTCTACAGATAACTATATTCATTGTTACAGAACGGGATAATATTAGGGATCCAACGTGGCACCGTTTGTATCAGTAGCTGTCTTTCCGTTACAAATGTTTACAAAACTATGACAATATTCTGCTAATTTTGAAAAATGTTTTGCCCTTGTAGTATTTCTATTAAATAACAAATACAATCAAATTTGCATGTAAATTGCATGGTGGATGTAAACATCCAATTTTCAGCCATAGATCTAGACTATAGACCTATTACCTACCTCTAGACTCAAGAGAGTGCCATCATCCTCCAACTACTTCCTGTCTGTTTCTTCTTTGTCTCTTTCAGCAAGCTATGGCCTTTCTGCATGAAATGTGCATCTTTGCCTTGTGTATGTATGTGGGTTCTCACCAGGTATTCCAGCTTCCTCTAACAGCACGAAAACATGAATTGATGTCTGCAAATTGCCCTGTGTGTGCATGCATGGTTTTATGTTTCTGTGTTGCCTTGCGTTGGACAGGCGACCAAGAATTACTGAAAATAAACCCCAACTCTATGTGACACTGATGGACATCTGGTAGAAAATGAATAGATGGATCATATGAATTGTTTTTACATAATAAATTAACTTTAAAAATGAAATATCTTAACTTAAACGAAAAGTAAAGCAATACAAAGTGCATTCATGGCCAGTCATGCACAATACATGTATATATTGTATGTAAAAACGGTTTGACGGGACAAAAAATAAGCATGGCTTCCCAATGGATTTGATTAAAGCCTCTCTAAGACGACAAAGCAATAAGAATACCCCTGTTGTTTAATTTGGAGTTTTGATTTAATACCATGAGACGCAATGGTGGTTCTAGACCAAATGTACCAGGGGGCCAGGAAGGGGAAAAATTCCAGGGCCAAAAATTGCTCCCAGTCCGAGCTTGGCTAAGGGTGGCCATGGCCACCCCTGGCCCCCCATCTAGCTCTGCCCCTGATCATCATTAGAATTTCTTTGAGCATTATGTCTTCAGTACAGGGTCCATAACAGGGGCTAGGACATGATCTACAGGAGCACTGGCCCCCGTTGGCCCCTGTCTAGAACCGCCTATGATGAAAGTGTTTGTGTCCCTGTGTGGTCAACAGTGGCGGTTCTAGACCAAATGTACCAAAGGCCCAGGAGGGGGCCATCGTATTTTCATGGGGGCCAAGAAAAGCATGAAATAAAAAACAGGGCAAGGGATTCAAATATTTTAAGACAGCTGCATGACGTGAAATTTCTATTCAATTAAGTTAAATTAAAATATTATTAGGTCAATATACACTCAGAATTTAGGAATTTTACATATTTTGAGTTAAGTTAAAATAACTGAAGTCATAATTTGTATGTAAATGATCAATAAAATCTGAATTAGAACTCAAGAAAATCTTAATTTCAGCTGTAAAAATTAGAGTATTTCTTCAAATTTGTTTGGAAAAAAAAAAAACATTTAGCGGATGAAAACTGGGATCCTATCTCAATACCACTGAAGCTATCACCTTATTGTTTTTAAATAATTAATAAAACAGAATTTGTAAAGAAAAAAAAAACATAAAATAGATCCAAAGGACCTATCAGTAACCATGTCTGCTCCAGCACATATCATCAGTAGAATTTCTTTGAGTATTATGTCTTCAGTACAGGAGCCATACCAGGGGCCAGGACATGATCTACAGGGGCTTTGGCTCTTTAAAGGGGCCGAGCTAGATGGGGGGCCAGGGGTGGCCATGGCCCATGGACCTCAGCCAATCATTGGCCACCCCTGTGGCAACCCCTACCATTTTTTCCCCTCTAATACAAATGGCAGTAATACTCTCAAGTGGAATATTCTGAACATTTTAATTTTTCATATCTTAACAATGACTTGACAACAAAGTTAATTATGCAATCAATATAATAACATTAAAGATTATAAGTACAGAATTAATGATATTATATTTAATAATCAATTAATGTGGATATTAGTACTTGTAAATGTCAATTTTATGCAGAATGATTATTGATAAAAGTAGTTCAGTAATGCCAATGGAAAAGATGTTCGCCCCAGCACTCAAACCTGAAAGGATTGTATCTACTATACCTTTTATCTAGATGGATGTTAGAAAATATGGATGTTAATTTTCCTTTTGGAATAGTGTAGATTGAGCCTGAGGTTCTGCTGCCACCCCTCAGTGTACATTGGTTATGGCCTGGCCACCCTAATAAACATTTTGTGGCTATGCCTCTGTTTGGCCCCTGTTGGCCCCTGTCTAGAATCGCCCATGGTGGCCAACCCTTAAAAAGGCCAGATGGGGACCTTGGGGATGGGGTTAGGAAGCAGGTGCAGGAAGCAATTACTAATATTAAAAAGATTCACTCTGTGATACTTGGAAATAACACAAATGCAAGCACAATATTGAATAAATTCTTATGGTTAGACAACCTAATAACCTTTGATCTACAGATAGATAATGTGTGAGATCAGATGGCTGCTGTGGTGATCCAAACCCTCTCACCTGTCCTTTTACAAGGCTGGCAGCAAACTGCCTCATGACCGCCTCCACCGTGTAGGCACTGGACCAGCCTCTGGGGGTCAACAGCTCCATGCAGATGGCCCCTCCGTCCAACACGTAGCCGTTCTCCAGCCGCGGCGTGAGGACCCGCATGAAGGGCGGCGAGAAGGGGAAATTGTCGGGGAAGGTGACGTTGAGCAGGATGAACTCGGTGCTGGTCTCCTTCATGTCCTGCCACAGCGCCGAGTCCTTGTCCACCTGGTGCAGCTTGACGTTCCAGTCGAACAGGTTGTCCTCCACCAGCTCCACCGTGATGAAGTGGTCCCCTAACCTCCGGATCTCCTGCAGCTCCTTCATCAGCCGCCGCGTCCTCACCTGGGTGCAGTGCTGCCGGTGAGGCGCCGGCGGGGGCAGGGAGGAGGCGCTGGGGGCTTTGCTCCCGCTCCCCCCGGTCTGCTGCTTCTCCTTCCCATCCTTGCCCTGCTTGTCTTTGCCAGCCGGCTTGTCCTTGCCGTGCTGGTCCAGCTTCCTCGCCTTGATCTCCGGGGTGCTCAGCAGGTTGGTCTCGTTGGCGGTTTGACAGTGTTTATTGGCGTTGTTCTTCTGGTTCCCTTTAGTCCCCTTTAGCGAGCCCTGGTGGTGCTTCGGGTCCTCCGTGTCTCGGTCGTGCAGGCGGATCAGACCGATCTTCCGCAGTAAGGTGGCCATCGTTTGGATATACTTCTACCTCTCCGCTGATCGCCCCCTGATCAGGGGGGGAGACGCGCTCCTTTTGACTCAGACACAACCTTTATGGATCAGGAACCTTTTATTTTTTTCTTCCCCTGCCTCCTTTATACCGCAGTCCACCCCCTCTCCGTTAGCTGGATGAGCGCGCAACCGGAGAGCCTGGGCCGTGTGCGCCTCAGCGCATCGCCTCCACACGGTTCATCTGAAAGGAAGAAGCAGCAAAAACCCCCAATAAAACAACACGGATAACATTTAGCGTTGCAACTATCATCTCCACTCATCCACCCTCCTTTATAAATAAGCGATCGGACATAATGACTGCTGTTGTTTCATGATAGGACGATGCGTTCCGCAGCAGCAATTAGGTGATCATACATTTCTACAGGAGGGTGCATATGCCTCATCATCAGTGCATACAAAAGGAAAATCAAAGATGATGTAATGGTTACATGCAGGTGAACGCACCTAAGAAATCCGACGAGTGTTTAATATAAAATGTCAACATTCATTTAAAATTAGGATCAGAAAAGGACAGAAATCTAATGTTTGATCCGCCTATCTTTGACAAATCAATAGGCCTGTTTTATTATAGCTTCTATTACTTATAAAGATTATTTCACACATGATATGTTAGCATCTCCCCTTTTATAATTAATGCCCCGCTTCTTCAAACATAAAGCATTTTAAAGCAGCAATCCAGCAGAGGGAAATGTGAGGTTACCGAGGTCTGTGGAAATGCGCACAATGCGTCCAGCTTCCAGTCCCGCAGCCCGAGCAGCGATCCAGTGCGCGCGCCTGTCTGTGTGTCTATGAAGAAGAAAAGGCTCTACCATCCAGTGGACCTGCTGTCTGAGAGAGCTGCAGTGATGAAGAGGAGGAGGTAGGAAGAGAGGGAGGAGGAAGTTTGATGTGTGTGCAGCTGCAGCAGCTCCTGCTTTAATGCAGCCGTGGATGAACCACCCCCCCACCCTCCAGTAAATCCCTCTCTGGCCTCTTCACACTCTGTGCTCACTGGTGGAGCTCCTTTTCAAAATAAAAGTCCTTAAAATAAGGCCAGCCATGTGACAGGGGCGGTTCTAGACTAAATTTACTTGGGGGGACCATGGTTATGCTCTGTAGGTTTTTAATGGTGGGCACGGAAAAAAAGAATAATAACCACACAAAAATGTAAAAAGAGACAGGATCTAGAGGAGCAAAATAGAGTTATCTGGAGCTGTTTTTTAGATTCCGTTCTGTAAAATAAATGAAGTTAAGAATTTGTTATAGACTTTACTAGCAGCTGAATATATTTTTTTTAAGGAAAAACGACATAAAAAGCCACTTATATAGCAGTAATAACAATAATTTTAAGTAAAAGCAACAAAGTGGTGGTTCTCTATTAGACCAACAAAACCCAAATACTGAACTCCTTTAAAGACATGTTTAATGTGTCCAACTGGGATTTTCTGTCATGTACCTGCAGAGTTAGTAGCAGAGGTGAGTAGTCCTTCATAACATTTATTTGAGTAAATTAAAAACAAATGTAGCTTTTAGGAATTAAATTTACATTAGTTCAACTTTGCTGTACTTTTTACTTTTACTTAAAGTCGTAGCGAAACAGTCGTTCCAACCGTTGCATTTCGGAATTCTCTCAAGTGATGCATGACTTTACACGAGTGAATAAAGTGAATGTGATTGGTTGTTTATTAGGAGGGCGGGATTGTCGTGGCGGAAAATTTGCAAGTAAGTTTGATTGTGGCTGGTGTCTCGGGGGCATCTTGCTAACCAGTTAGCAACTTAGTGCTAGTAGGTTCCCAATAGGA